CACCCCTGGTGTGTGATTATCTAAATGAGAGGGTGGTGCTAACTTATCTGCCAATAGCTTGGCTGGCAAGCTGCATCCATAGACTGGGTACAAACACATACACACTATTCAACCCAACTGAATTCAATTCAATTCATATAGCGGCAAATCACAACATCTGTAGCCTCAAGCGCTTTATATTGTAAGGTAAACCCCTACAATAATACAGAGAAAACCCCAACAATCACATATATAAATAAAATTACCTGGCCACCTACACATTACAGCTACAGGAGCTGCTTGGCAATGAAGAACTATGAGATGATGCTCCCAGTGCCCAATTTATGTATTGATCTGCTCTGTAAATTAACATCTGGTCTGTAACTATGTGACTGAGTTTCTATTTTGTTTTTTGTTTTGTTGATTTTCTCTAAATTTCCAGTTTGCAATAATGCCATTTACAGTTGATTGTAAAAGAAAAGAGCAAAGAAATTAAAGGCAGACGGCTAGGTGCTTGATTTTATGTACCTGCGGCCATGGATCTGAAAGTACAAAGATAAGGTGTTTTTATCCATGCTGTACAAACCTGCTTAGGATTAGTAAGTATCAGGTAATGGACTGATAAAATCCTGGAATTTCGTTCAACACAACTGGAGCATAGACTTCTTGGATAAGCGCTTAAGGTTAAGCGGTAAGTGGTTGTGAGATAATTAGTTTTAAAAAACGCCCCAACAGCACAAACAGTGATTGGAGATCCAGTTCAGAGACTCCAATTAGCTGAGCTGAAGCCTTGTAGACAGATAGCGGCTATAGTCACCCAGTGCACCCAAAGATAATGTTTAATTTAAATTTAAGTTTGGAGACCCATCCTCATTGGGGGTGGGTTTTAATTATCGATTTTCCGATTAAAATCGATTCTAGCTTGAATGACACAATATCGATTCATTAAAATCCTGAATCAAATTTATTTTGCCTGAAACAGAATCTCAGGCTAAACCTCACAAAATTTCGACAACCACCAAACAGCTAAGACAGTAAATGAGAGCAGGTACCTGGATTCTGCACAAAGAGTAAACACAAAGCGGACCGACGACGCATCAGAATCAGTAAGATGTCGTCTTTCTCACCCGACGGCACGTACGCGGACACGCCAGCTCACTGATTCTGATGCGGCGGCGGGTCCTGTTTGTGTTTACGTCTTTTTTTTGCGCTAGATTCTGAAGCTGTAGGTTTTGTCTCTCTCCAACCAAAATTGATTGAACCAGCAGCAAAAGAAGATCCAAACTACTCTTCACATTTCGCTTCACATACAGTGGGATACATAAGTTTGGGCAACCTTGTTAATAGACATTATTTTCCAAATTTATGCACCTGCCTGATTTTGTTTAAACAATTATTGCACACTTTCTGTAAATCCAATAAACTTCATTTCACTTCTCAAATATCACTGTGTGTGTCTCCTATATGACATATTTAACTGACATTTTTTATTGTAACAACCAACGATTTATACAGGAAAATAATGACTATTAACAAGGTTGACCAAACTTTTGCATCCCACATCGTTGTGAATTCCCTCTTACTTTTGATGTTTTGCTTCCACCACGATAAAAATCACACTTCATGCACAGCTCTCTCTCTCCCTCTCAGTGTACTTCAAGAACCGTTTCCCATGTCAAATCTCTGTTTTCTGCATTATTCGCTTGCTTATTATCCACCAGTCTACCATTATGTACAGCGCTGTCAGACGCTTTTTTTTAAAATGACTTCCGACAAAAAAGTCTCATTTCTGCTGTTTAATACTGAAGAAATGCAAACTTTTTAAAATTATATGAAATTGCAAAATGATTAGTTGTGTCTCTAATTAAACCTCTGTAACTTTGCTGTGCTTTACTTCAGCAGCATCAGGTAATGTGACTGCAGAAAATGTTAAGGTGGTTATCTGCTATAAAAAGCCAGGCCAGGAAAATCTCCATGTTTTTCTGTGTTTTATGCTCAGTTACTTTGACACAAAGACATCTGATGTGATGCATACACCTTTGATAAAGTCTTACAAGCGTCAGCTTTCTTTTTATAGATATAAAAATATGGATATGTCCTGATAAATGATCAGAATTATAATATTTCTGACTGTCTGGGGCAAAATTTCCCCGATTCAAATGGAATTGAACCGGGACCTTGTGAATCTGAATCGAATCGATCGTAGAAATAAGCTATGATCACCCCCCCACGCACGGTGGCACTGTCACATGGTCACTCTCTGCGGTAGAGTATCACTTCCTGTTTCAGCACATAGTTGTATTTTTGTGTAGCAATTTAATTAAAAAACTTACAGATAACTTCTTATTTCATGGTGTAATTTTCACGTGCTTAATTAACAGCACACTCTGTGTATTCACTCGCAAAATAATGTTGACAATATTCACTCACTGGTCTTTAACGTTTCGCTAGCTTACCTTAGCTCACCTTAGCTCGTAGCCGACTCGTTAGCAGCATGGCCTCTTCACCTGTCTCTTCTTCTGCTCATTGTGTCAGATGTTTAGTTAATCCTCGGCCTCGATACTTGTAATAAATGTAGCCTATCTGCAGCTCTGGAGGCCAGGTTCACTGAATTGGAGACTCGGCTTCGCACCGTTGAAAAACTCGTAGCTAGCCAGGCCCCTGTAGCCGTTAAGGCAGAAGGTAGCGTAGGCCCCGCTAGCTGACCCCCGACCAACTGTCCCGAGCAGCCGGGGAAGCAGGATGGCTGACTGACGGCAAGGAGGAAGCCTAGTCCTAAACAGAAACCCCTGGTACACCACCAACCTGTTGGTGTCTATGTGTCTAACCGCGTTTTTCACTCAGCACCACATGTGCCGGGGATCAAACTTTCGTAATTGGTGTTCTGAGACGTGAAGCTAGAAATACCAGCAACCGTGGTAAATTTTCTTCCAAAGTGGGAAGAAGGCATAGCATATATTTTCACTGCTTTGCAGATGACACCCAACTTTATCTATCCATGAAGCCAGAGAACACACACCAATTAGTTAAACTGCAGGAATGTCTTAAAGACATAAAGACCTGGATGACCTCTAATTTTCTACTTCTAAATTAAGAAAGATGGCATTGTGTACTGGATGGCATTACCGTGGCCTCCAGTATCACTATGAGCAACCTTTGAGTCATATTTGACCAGGATGTGTCCTTCAATGCACATATTAAAGAAATAAGTAGGACTGAATCCAAAGTCCTGCTCCTCACATAAAGGTCTTAAACATAGAGGCCCCATCTTAACTTAATTACCTTATAGTATATCACCCAATTAGAGCACTTAGCTCTTGTACTGCAGGCTTACCTGTTGTTCCTAGAGTAATAAAAAGTAGAATGGGAGGCAGAGCCTTAAGTTTTCAGGCCCCTCTTCTATGGAGCCAGCCTCCAGACACTATCTCTACTTTTAAGATTAAGTTTAAACTTTCCTTTTTGCTAAAGCATATAGTTAGGTGCTGACCCTGAATCCTCCCTTGGTTATGCTGCAATAGGCATAGGCTGCTGGGGGGTTTCCATGATGCATTGAGTATTTCTTCTTTAGCCACCTTTCTCACTATGTGTTAACATACCTGCCTGCCTTGAATTATACTTGTTATTAATCTCTGGCTCTCTTCCACAGCATGTCTTTTATCCAGTCTTCCTACTCTCACGCCAACCAGTCGCGGCCAATGGCCGCCCCTCCCTGAGTCTGGTTCTGACTGAGGTTTCTTCCTGTTAAAATGGGAGATTTTCCTCCCCACATTTGCCAATGTGCTTGCTCATAGGGGGCCAAATGATTGTTGGGGTTTTCTCTGTATTGTAGGGTCTACCTTACAATCTGAAGTGCCTTGAGGTGTTTGTTGCTGTTATGTGACACTGTATAAATAAAACTGAATTGAACTGAACTGAGAATTTAGCATGTGAGTCTATGGGGATTGAAGACAGCCTCAAGAGGCCATTAAAGGAACTGCAGTTTTTGTCAGTTTTATGACGTCTTCACTTTTCAAGGGGAAAGAATTCAGTGTCCAATTTTTAAACTATTTTTAATGCACTGTGAGAGCTTAAGTAGATTTAAATAAATCCATTATTGTATCTTTGCTAAATTTGATGTATTCTAATAAAAGCATGGTGTGGAAATCCCCCCCCCCCAATCGTAAAATTACCATAGTTTTATTAAATACATGTTGAAATACAGCCATACAAGCACACAACCTTTAACTATCATATTTGTGCCATTCTCTGTAATATTAAGGTAAAAAGAATGAATCTGCAAATTCTACATACTTGGTCTGAAATGCTAAGATTAAGATTTTGTCATGTGCCTTTTCTTATTTTGTCCTTCTGGATTTGCATGGCAGGCCTGGTGTGATTTAAACAGTAGCACAGATGGAGGTTCATTTGCCTGCAATGCAGCACGAGAAGCCAAAAGCAGGTAAAGCCTGAGCAGTGTCTGTCCCCAGCTGCATAGGTTGAGACATTTGCCAAGATGGGAGTAAAGGAAAAGTTAAGTCTGATGCAGATCCCCTCCATTCTTCTGCTCGGCTTTGTTTATGTGGCATATGTGCTGATCGGTGGGGTGGTTTTCTGGAAGTTGGAGGGAGAACTCGGAATGAAGGATGT